CCCCCTACCCACCCACCCAAGAGATAAAGAAAGTACATTTAGAGACTGATGCCTGGCCCAGTAGTGAATAGTAGTGAAGCTCCCAGTGCTGGCTCTACATCCAGGTCACCTGTGACACTCTCTGATAATGCAGATGCCCAGGCGCCACGGCATAGCTGGCGGCTTGAATCTCCAGGTGTGAGTCACTTCAAGAATCCCTTTAAAAGCTCCTGTTTGGTTTCTGAAGTGTAGCCAGGTTGGGGAGCTTTTAACGTTTTATTTCTTTAAAAATAAATGGTTTGAAGCAATATAGCAAAATGTTACAACTTGATGAAGTTGAGTAGGTAGATAACAGATAGTTATATTCTCTATATGTTTCTGTATGCTTAAACTGTGATATAATTTTGCAAGATAGAGCAGCAGAGGAAGTAGTGGTAAAATTTGTGGAAGATCGGGCCGGCCCGGTGGCGCACTGGAGAGTGCGCTCCTTGGGAGCGCGGCGGCGCTCCCGCCGAGGGTTTGGATCCCATGTGGAGACCGGTCCGCTCACTGGCTGAGCGCAGTGCAGGCGCGACACTGAGGGTTGCGATCCCGTTGCCGGTCCCCGGTATGGGCGCGACGAGGGTTGCGATCCCGTTACCGGTCAGTAAAAAAAGACAAAAAAAGGAAAAAAAAAAAAAATTGTGGAAGATCAATACAGATTTTAGGGACGAAATACTTTTGAGGGTTGCGATCCCGTTACTGGTCAGTAAAAAAAGACAAAAAAAGGAAAAAAAAAAAAAATTGTGGAAGATCAATACAGATTTTAGGGACGAAATACTTTTTGCTGACTGGCAGTATTAGAAATATATTTGCAGGATTATAGGTGACTGTTTTTATCTTTTTGCTTATCTGTTGTTTCTATGTTTTCTATAGTGAAATGGTACTACTTTTATAATAAGAAAACAAGTGAAAAAGAAAGCTCCTGACAAAATATGTAAATGCCATATTGCTTCCAAAATATGTAAATGCCATTTCTACAGTGAATCACCCTAGTATGTGGGAGGTGGCCCTGAGCCATCAGGTGTTCATTGCTACACGGTAGCCCTAAGCATCCTCAGGGAGAACAGGTATGTTTGATAAGCTCTCTCTGAAAGGCATATATCAACATGCTTACAAGCTTGGACTTTGAGCCCAGGTGGCTTTCCCACTGCTGGAAAGGTTAGCTCTTGCATTTTGAAACAGGACATACTATAAGACCTGTGGTCTCTTCCCTGAATACGTTCAGAGGGACTGACTTGTTGAGATCAGATCTCTTTTGTGATCCTGGGAATAAGCAATGTAATGCCTACTACAAGCCACAGATTAATATTTTAGGGGATCCCTTTGATTAAGCTGTGATGACTTTTTTTTTTTTTTTTTAAAGATGACTGGTAAGGTGATCTTAACCCTTGGCTTGGTGTTGTCAGCATCATGCTTTCCCAATAGAGCTAACCAGCCATCCGTATATAGGGATCCAAACCCTTGGCCTTGGTGTTATCAGCACCACACTCTCCCAAGTGAGCCACAGGCCAGCCCTTTTGATGACATTTTAATTGGTCCTATTTTAGGGCAACTTCTCAATCCGGACAGCCAAGATACAGCAAAATGTGTGTGACACTATCATCCGCATCTTTAAAAGACATGGTATGTCCTTTTTTAAAAATTACATTCCTTCTCATAAGATGTTTTTTGGTTTTTTTCCTTTTCATTGTTAGAAAGTAGTGTTAATGGATTTGAGTACAACCATATTTTACTTTTAAATTTAGTTACAACTAATTGACCACACGTGAAATTTAAGCTTAGTTTTTGCAGTTCAGCTTGTTAAGGAGAAACTGATTTGAATATTGCAACCTTGTTACAAAAGATATAGTTGGTTTGTGGAGTCAGAAGGAAGACTAAGTTGACAAACTTAACCCTACATGAGCCCTCTATTTGTAAATTTAGAAAATTGAAGAAAACATGATGATGATTTCAATGGTCCCTATAGCAGATTACTTAACTGCAAGTTTGTGTTCATTTTAGGTTGCCTCCTAGGAAGAATGAGAACCTGGTAATTAGTTATTTTTTCTAATTTGGTACAGGAGCTGTCCAGTTGTGTACCCCACTACTGCTTCCCCGAAATAGGCAAATATACGAGCACAATGAAGCTGCCTTGTTCATGGACCACAGCGGGATGCTGGTGATGCTTCCTTTCGACCTGCGGGTGAGGCTGGAAACAGTCTGCTGACAGTCTTGTTACCATGTCTGGTCACAGAATAGAGTCTCTCTGAGAAGATTGCTCCTATTGGTCATTTTCCCCCAGGCTTATATTCTGTCACCTTTAGGAAATGTATTCTTAAGGGTGAGAGCATTAGAGAGTTAAGTAAACATTTGACCCTGAATGAATCCATCTTGCTAATAGTGCAAGTTATGGCTGTAGGAACTGGAACCCTGTGTTGCAGGTGCCACATGTTCACCTCAGTGTTGAGCTCCGCCAAGTGATCATAACATGTTAACCTGGTCAACTCAGGCAAATAAGTGTAGTTTGGTTTTTTTACTTCTTGTCTAGATCTTCAGTAAAATCCTAACCTGTTAACGTCTAGAACAATTAAATTCTTGTAAAAGCAAGTATGTCTGCTAATTGGGTGTGCTGAGTTTTACCCATACTTGCTTTCTTCTGACCCCCAGAGCTCCCTCTGACAGCAACAATCTTACCAGTCATTCGCTTACATAGCGTTGGCTACTAGCAAGCCATCTGTGACACTGTATGACAGACCAGAGGAAAACACTCCATGTGTATGACAGTCAAGGGTGTAATACCCCTAATGTACAGAAAGCACTTATAAGTAGTTACGCAAGCAAAGGATATAATCAGGCAATTCTCAAAAGAGAAAATGCACATGGCTGATAAACTCCTGAAAAGCTGTTCAGCCTCACTAATAAGGAAATGCAAAGGTTTCTCAACTTCATCCTTCAGACTGGCAAAAATATTTAAATTATCATCATCCAGAGATGACAAGGGTATATAGGAAAATAGGTACTTTCAGATGTTGCTGATAGGAATGTGCATTGCTAAATCTTTAGAAGAGTAACCTGAAAGTTTCTAATAAAATTTTTAAAAATTTTATGCACATGCTATACCCTTTGAACTAGAAATCCCACTTTGAGGAATTTATTCAAAGAAATAAAAAGACATTAATTTATGAATGTTAAAAGGATGTTTATTGCCCTATTATCATGGTAGTCAAAAACTAAAAACAATCTCATGTTTTTCAATAGGAAAATGGTTGAATCACTTGCCGTCAATACTATGGAATATTAAGGAGCTATTAAAAAGAAAATTTAGACCTATATTTAGATCTAAATTTAGATCTATAAGATGAAAATACATATAGGTTTTTTAGATATATTCATATCTATATTTGATCTGTAGGAATATCCATGGTAAATTGTTAGCTAAAAGAAAAAAGTAAGTTTGCACTTGATATGTATGCAGGTATAAACTTGCTCTCAGTTATGTGAATGTTCGTGCACACCAGTTTGTGTATATCACCAAAGAGTAAGGTGTCAAAGAATAACTCAAACCTTTCTGGAGGAGATAATGGAATCAAAGCTTTTTTTTTTTTTTTTTAAATATCTGTGTTGTGTGGCTTATTGCAAGGACAGGTTTTTGCTCTTATGATTTAAGAGGAAATATCTTCCATATTCTTGGCTTCTGTTTTTCTTTTATAGTAAATAAAGTGGTTTGGGATTATTTTGAGGTAAAGGTGAATAAAAAGCACATCAGACATTTGGGATCTGTTAAAGAGAGAGTAAAAGTACAACCATTTATATAGCTATACTTAAAACTGGTTTCTTATTTTCTAAATATTAGGAGACTAAAGTACAGATTTTTAAACATCAGCTGCCTTTCTGTGAGCTGAGACTCAAATGCAAAAAATGAAAAGTGCTCTGTGAGAATTTGACCCATTAGTTAATGATACCATGTCAGATCTCTTGGGGCAATCTGACAATGGTTTTATAAGTTCATAAGTTCTGACTCTTATTTGTAGGTAGTTATTAAGAATTTCTCCTAAGACATTGGTAGGAAAATCAGGAAATTCATCTTAAAAGATAATACCCATTATGACTGCGTTATCATAAATAACTTCTTTTTTTTAAGTTCACTGGTAACCAGATAAACTTACAGCGATTTTAATTTGGCAGAGTACAGTATATTTAAGGAAAAGTGATTTTTTTCCAAACATAAAAAAACTAAGAAACGCCGTATATATAATGTTGATGGGATGGGTAGCAGTGGAGCCCACTGCCAACTAGAGCACTCAGGAACATTTCAAGAAGTGTGAATGGTGATTGGTGCACAACTCTGTGAATAGCCTAAAAACCACTGAATTGCATATTTTTAAAGGGTGAACTTTATGGTGTGTGAGTATATGGTATATTTCAATAAAGCTGTTATTAAAAAGCAGGAGAAGTGTGGTAGTTGGCACATCTTGACATTGACCTTTAAAACTTTGTTTTTCAGGTCCCTTTTGCAAGATACGTGGCAAGAAACAATATACTGAATTTAAAACGGTAGGAAACAGTAGGGGGTTCTACTTGATAGATGTGGGAAAGAAACCAAGGAAGAACGTTTTATCTTCTGTTATCCTTACACAGTAAAGAATTCTGGGTTCAAAGTACTGAGCTTGGAATATGGTCAAAAAGCCCAGCCACAGTAACACTTTCCATAAGGTGGCTAGGACTGGTGGCCTTCTCTTTGGAAGGAATGTGGCAGTTAGGTACCGTGGCGTTCCTGCAGTCTATTTTGGGCTTTCTAAAATGCCCCCAGGCAACATAACTAATTATTTTCACAAATGGTTGCTTGAAAAAACATCTGGCTGTTCTTGGTCACTGTTGACCCCTTTTGAAATTTAATTGGAGGGACAAATGGCCAATGATCTCTGTGTGAAAACTGCCTATAAGGTAACTGAACAAAAGCTGCCTGTAGAGAAGTAGAGTAAACCCAGCAGGAACGCTGAGCTGAGCACTGAGGATCTCCAGGCACTTAGCATTGGAAAAATGTTTTCTGTACATTCAAATACCACAGGAGTTGAACACTGAGATCTTCGTATATTGGAACAGTATTGTTGTCAGTGAGTCACCCTCCTTTAAAGCTCCTTTCTTCAACTGAAATCAAAGCTCTTTATGTGCTTTTATTCTAGCTACAAGTGAACAATTAATAGTCAAAATCCTAAGGTATGGTATTCCTGTGTAAAAGGCAATCAGTAAAAGTAAAATTATTTTTTTGTGTGTAATTTCATCTCTATTTCAGACATTAAAAAAAAAAAAATTTAAGCCCCATGGTTTAATGGTGGCAGAACTGGGAATTGGAACCCAGATCACAAGGCAAGGCTATTCTGGGACAGATCTCTCTTTAAGCCCTCTTGATCATACCACTGATTAATTTTTTCTCATATATGTATCTTTTATCTTATTCAACAATGTCTCATACATATTGGTTTCCAGTAAGCAATGACCCTAGAAATCTGGATTTCTCTCTCCAGATACAGCATAGAACGTGTGTTCAGACCTCGCAAGTTAGATCGATTTCATCCCAAAGAACTTCTGGAATGTGCATTTGATATTGTCACTTCTACCACCAACAGCTCTCTGCCCACTGCTGAAATCATCTATACTATCTATGAAATCATCCAAGAGTTTCCAGCACTTCAGGTTCATATTTTAACATTCTGAGATTACCCCCGCTAGAGTCCTTCACCAAGTGTGGTGGGCAAAGCCACAGCAACTTCAGACCTGCTTCTCGGTTTGTGCTGGCAATGAATCACATCTTCCTAAAGTAACTGAAACAAGTTTGACAATGTTGCTTTCAGGGCTCATCTCAGGCTCTTACCTCTACCTTAGCAGGAACTGCTTTTTGTTTTGGGGGATAGGTATTGTTTCTCCATTCATTCTTCCAAAATGCAAGAAATCGGCTGAGATTCCTAGGATACATATAACATGTTCATACCCTGTTCAGAACCATCAGTGGCTCCCTCCTACTTCCAGTCTCTTAACTCCCCAACTTATCTTTTCACCATGTTTGCACACTACAGGGACTGCTACCTGCTCTCCTCAGGCCTCCCCTCCCCATCCGACACATATGCCCTGTGGTCCCTGCCTCTGTTGTTCAAGTGCTCCCTTGCCTAGAAAGTCTTTTCTTTACCAGCCGTGGTTTGGGCCCTTCTCCCCAGGAAGCCTGACTGCTCCCTAATGGATTGGTTGACCATGTTTTCTTCTCAGCTCTCACAGTTCTTGGTATGGGACAGCCACACACAACCTTGAGTCAGGTTCGTTGTTTTCTCTAAGCAGAGTGTGTGTTCTTTCAAAACAGAGCCCACAGGTCCCCTTTTCCATATACCCCATTGCACCCAGCTCAGCACACAGCTCACCACTATGTGAATGCTCGTTAACTGACTCATGTGGGCAGAAGTACTGATAAGTATTCGGCCAGCCTGTGCTATAAGTCAATTACTATTGAACTAGATTCTTGCTTTTTATTCTAGCTGAAGACCAGTCAGTATTTTTGACACACGTAATTCAATAAAATTAGATTCTACTCTCTGACTAAAACTATGTAAAAAGAACATATATGAAAAAATAAACTAGGAGGCAATATGCTTGAAAATCAGTCCTTCTGTTGTGTTAGGATGATAAATTGGTGGTAAAGGTCCAGATTTGGTCATGTACCTATATTTCATAATGAAAATAATCATAATTTTTCTCTGTATCCCAGGAGAGAAATTACAGTATTTACTTGAACCATACCATGTTATTGAAAGCAATACTCTTACATTGTGGGATCCCAGAAGATAAACTCAGTCAAGTTTACGTTATTCTGTATGATGCCATGGTAAGCATTTAATTACCTTGACTTGACGTTGAAGGATGATAATAGTAATAGTTCATGGTTATTTTCTTACTGATGCAACCATAAAACTGAGTTGGGGGCTTTATCTCCTTCCCTCATTACTCTAAGGTGAAAGAACCAACTGGCTTTAATTACAATTGAGCTTTTTATTCTGTATTAAGCCCTGTACTACTAGTAACCTCCAGGGTGGCTTTTTTTTTTAAGGGTAACTTCTAATTTTAAAAGATCAAATTATCTTATTTAATTTGTAAGGTAATAAAATTCTTTATTAACCTACTTCTTACAGCAAGAAATCTCTGAGTAACCAGTCCTGATACTTGCCAATAATAATTTTTAAAATAGTGACCTTAATTGAGCCCCTGTCCATATGCCAGGCATCGTTCTAAGCTCTCTATGTGGATGCACTGACTTCATCCCCACACCAGTGCTGTTATTGTCCTTCCTTTGCAGGGGCTGAGAGAGGGAATGTTAGTGTTGAGAATAAAAGATAATATGCCCTGCACTTAGTTCTTCCAGCCTGCCTGTGCTTATCAGTAAAGTCATTTATAGACTGGCATTGATTGAATTGGGGGCAGCAGCTTAAACCTCTGCTGGAGCCTCACTTACCACCTTCTTTCTGTGGGACTGGGGCTATGGCACCTCCAGTTACCCTTCCCTAATTTAGCCACATTGTAGTATTTATTACTTTGTAGTACATGCACAGATACAGAGCCTGAAGGGGAAACATTGAAAAAAGAATGTCATGATATGATGCTGGAATGGAGATGAATGCTTATCTCTGCTAATATCTTTTCCTATTAAATTTTGTTTTCATAATAAGTAAGAGGCATCCAGGAGTTGCAATAATTAACCGTGCGAGACAGTCTATGATTAAGGCAGAATGAATAGTGGAAGTCCATAATGGCGTATTGTCTTTTATACTCCAAAAGGCTGAACTAGCTTTTTTTTCATCTGATAAGTACACATCAAGGACCCAAACTTTACTGTTTGTTTCTTAGTGGTTTTTTCCTCCCCACAATGTGCTGCTGCTCTTTGGCAGTGGCAGATGTAATATAAAGTCAGTTGGACAGTGGCAGAAACCCCAGGGATTATGCAGAGCGGTGTCAGCTCATTCTTGTTCATATCCCGTAGCCACAGCCACAGTCCATTCACCAGTGTGGGATGAGATGCTCAGAGACTGGCTTTTACCAGGGGAACATGGATCAAAATGACTCCCTCCCTGCCTTGGCCCTGTGCTTATCAGTAAAGTCATTTATAGACTGGCATTGATTGAATTGGGGGCAGCAGCTTGAACCTCTACTGGAGCCTCACTTACCACCTTCTTTCTGTGGGACTGGGGCTATGGCACCTCCAGTTACCCTTCCCTAATTTAGCCACATTGTAGTATTTATTACTTTGTAGTACGTGCACAGATACAGAGCCTGAAGGGGAAACATTGAAAAAAGAATGTCATGATATGATGCTGGAATGGAGATGAATGCTTATCTCTGCTAATATCTTTTCCTATTAAATTTTGTTTTCATAATAAGTAAGAGGCATCCAGGAGTTGCAATAATTAACCGTGCGAGACAGTCTATGATTAAGGCAGAATGAATAGTGGAAGTCCATAATGGCGTATTGTCTTTTATACTCCAAAAGGCTGAACTAGCTTTTTTTTCATCTGATAAGTACACATCAAGGACCCAAACTTTACTGTTTGTTTCTTAGTGGTTTTTTCCTCCCCACAATGTGCTGCTACTCTTTGGCAGTGGCAGATGTAATATAAAGTCAGTTGGACACTGGCAGAAACCCCAGGGATTATGCACAGCGGCGTCAGCTCATTCTTGTTCATATCCCGTAGCCACAGCCACAGTCCATTCACCAGTGTGGGATGAGATGCTCAGAGACTGGCTTTTACCAGGGGAACATGGATCAAAATGACTCCCTCCCTGCCCAAACAGAAATGCACTGGTTAAACCTGTCCAGATCTGGGCTGCCTCACCACTCAGCAAGTACAGCTCTCCCCTTTTTACTTCTTTTGTGTCAGGGTTCTTCAAATTTTAAAATAATGTTAGTGATGGTTTTATGTGAATTGGGAAAAAACTTTTTTTAATGGCAGGATTAAATCCATCCTTTACAATTAGGAACAGTTTGTCCAAAATGAAGGATATAATTAATTGTATAATTAGCCTGGAAATTGTATCTTGTTCAGGGCCAGATTTAGTGAGTCTCATCGTCAACTTTTTTCTTCTGCATTAGACAGAGAAGCTGACAAGGAGAGAAGTGGAAGCCAAATTTTGTAATCTTGCTTTGTCTTCTAATAGTGTAAGTACCTTCTAATGGTCTTATGACAGCTTTCTCTGTCATTTTGTGATACCAGAAAATGTCACCAAATTCTTGTTGCCGTAACGTGGCAGCACTTTCTACCACTTCACAGATGCAGTTTTTCCCTCGAGTGTTAGGTACCATGGCAACCTCTGGGATTAGGAGAAGAAAGAAACTAATGCCATTATCAAAGACTGCCTCTCCATGCTTCTTCTTGATGTGTGTAATCATCCTGTTCTTTCTCAATCACCAGATACTTTTCTTTTGCACCCTTACAGAGCCGTGCTTGGCAGAGCTTCCTGCTCAACAGGTCTAGTACTAGTTGTCCTCTGCAGAAATAGATTATATAGGACTAGAATGAGGCACAGAACCCGCAGATTCTTCTAGGTATCTTCCCCTCCCCTGACCCTCAGGTCATCTAACTCCTATGTGTTGAGTTGAAGCTCTTTTTTTTCTGGTACATTTCCTACTCCAAAAATCTTACATTTGATCCCATCAGCAATAAGGAAAATATTATGGGATAAACAGGTTGTCATATTCTCTGTACAGACATCAGATTGATCCCAGATCTTTGGCACAGTAACCAACACTTAACTGAGTACCTGAACAACAAAAGACAACAGGGATTTTGTACATTTTCCCAAACATTTATATAAGCGTTTTTGGTTTTTTCTTTAACTTTCCCAGAACCCTTCAAGTCCCTGGTCTGACATTCAATTACATGATCCTGTAGTGATCAGCAAAATTCACGTGTGGGATAGATTAAAATACAATTATACACAGGCCAGGCAGAGTCACTCAATCTTTTGGACACCTACAGTATGGCAGGCAGAGTGCCGGGGAAATAAAGAGGGGTAAGTTGAGGAGTCCATGGAGATCATTCAACTTCTTAATTCATACCGGTCTTTAAAAAGTCAGGAGGGCGTATGCGCAGCATATATCTGCCTTTTATAGGGTACATGTAAACCACAGTTCAGAGAAGTCACCCATTTGCAGGTAGGAAAAGTAAACCAGATGCATGGCACTAGGAGTTCTGAAAATCGAGCCAGATTAAATCTTAAATATTTCATATTGGAGGAGATATTAATTATATGCAAAGTGACCTAATAGCATAATATTCATATATGAAGAATGATATTTATAAATACTCTAAGCATGTACACAGCACACACCTATGTATAGAAATAGTCCTGTGTATAAATAACACAGGATCTGCTCAATATACTGTCCAGTTCAGTGATTCTCTACCCAAAGTTTCAAGCCCAAAAGATTCTTTGAACTGTCATATTTCAAAGTCTCACAAATGTCACACACTTGGACATGATAGCTGCATTGGTTGGTAAAATGTCAGCTTCTTTTCTTTTTGCTAAATCTCTACCCACTGGTCATTTTATGATGCTAAGCATTAATAGGAAGTCATACATTTCCTTAGTTTAAAAATTGAAAAATAGTATCTGATAAAGGCATTTGGTACTTTCATTATTTTAAAATAGAGCTCTAAGGATATTAGAAAGGGTAGTAGAAATATTGCAAAAGAGTTTCAAATATCCAGCCCAGTCTTCTTATTTTACAGATGAGACATCTAAAACCCAAAGAGATGTTGTTATCTGTCCAAAGTCACATGGAGTTAGTTGATGATAGGGTGAGGACCAAAATCTTGTGATACTGGTTCCAGTGCTTCTGGTAGTTTATTAATGTGGTAATTTGATGTTAAAATTTATTGAGATTAAATCATTTTTTATTTTTTTGTTTTGTGGCTGGCCGGTGCAGGGTTCCAAACCCTAGACCCATGCTCCAACCGAGTGAACCAGCCAATGAAAAAAATTTTTTTAAATCAAAGACATTATTTTGGTAGTTTCCTAATGAGGTAGTTTAAAGTTAAAATTTGAGAAGAAATCATTTTTTATTTTACTAAGAAGAAAAAAATTTTAAATCAAAGACATGGTTTTAAGTTTAAAATTTTTATCTTTAATATAGTAAATAGATTATAGGAGATTTTAACATCTTTTGTATTTTTTAAAAAATAGAAATTATTTATGATTAACTATTATGTTAAGCTCTGTTAAGCTGATTCTTCATTCAGCTTAGTCTTCCTGTGCGAATTTATAGATGAACCAGGTTTTGCTTGCTTGTGGTCTTAAAATAGCTATAATTTTTTTT